AGTACCCATCCCCAATTCTGTTAGATCTGTAACTGCATAATAATAAAAAATGTAAAAATGTATGCAAAATCTATAAAAGAAAGCGGGAAAAAAATTTTTTAAGCATAAACTTTCTTTTAAGTTTTTTTTTATATTGTCTCATTCTTGTGACCTCAATATTTCATCTCTTCTTGCTATGCGTTGTTACACCCCTTATCGTAACAGTTATGAACTCACCATCTCATCAGCCTGTATCCGCCTGCCCATCACACGTAGGACACTGAGAAAAAATAACACCATATCTTATATTTCTAACACAATGTGGAAAATGTTTTTTTTTTTCTGAGAAACTAAAAATTGTAAAAATGTATTAATACTTAATAGTAACAGCAATCACAAGCTGAATATGCATTTGTAACTTGCTCCATTATGTTTTACCTCTGCTGGAGTCTTTCTTTCTCTTCCTCGAGCTTCTGTAGTCTTCCCCATTTCTCAGAGTATCTATAGAGACGAGTACAATCAAGAGCTCCTGTCAAACACTAGTTTGGCATTATATATACAAAATACACAAATATATAACTATATACACATATATACCCATCAGTGACATGCGGTGAGGTTCATAGCTGGTGAGGTTCATAGCTGGTGAATCACTGATTTAATCATAATCAAATTTACAAATATATAATCCCTGCATGTTAATGTTTACATTGGGAAATTTCGCACATCCATAGCTGCGCTGCTGTGGTAGAACAATTCCATTAACTCAATGAAACTTGGAAATATAGGTATTATTATTAATACAGAAGAACTTGTCCCACAAACTTGAGCAACCAAAATGTGACGCTTATTAAAAACTCAAAAGACACGAAATGGAAGAGCTACTAAAGCCACATTAGCAGCATTGAATTAAATCTCCCGTTTGCTGCGCATCTCTGCGTAGTGCAGCAGATTACCTCGTCATGCAGGGCCGGTCCAAGGCTGTATGAGACCTTGAGCAAAATTTGACTTAGGGGCCCCTTTTGTTACTAAAAACATCAGCACCACTAAATGCTTCTGTGTTAGATTTAATCTGGGAGAAGGGAATAGTTTAATTGGCCAACCTAAAAACAATCAATTATAACTGCAGTTTAGTAATTAGTATTTGTGAACAAACAGAGCTCAAACTCAGATTATACTCACAGCATCATATTGTTGCTGTGGTAAAAAAAACAAAAAACAATCTAACTATGAATATTGTTTTTTGAACTTTTACAAAGTATACTTGCCAGCTCCTTAAAATCTTACATTTAAATGTTAAGCAATTTAAAATCTTTTAATTAGTGTATGCTGAAACCATTAAATCAAATTTAGCAGCATTGATAATCTCAATAAACAAATGTTTTATTTATCTGTGGTCTGTGATAAAATATTAGCATTTATGGGCTCCCGAAGTCCTGGGGGGTCTGATGAAACCATTGACTTAATTTGGATTAACCAATTTTAAATTGATTTCTTGTCTTGCTGTTTTTAAGACTAGTTGTGGGTTTAAATAGCATTTCACTGGGAATGTTTTCCCATAACATATAATTATCTTATGGGAAATTACTGGGTAATTACCCAGTAATATTTTTACATATCCTGTCTACTTAACATTTTTTAATACAAAAACACGGTGGACCGCCTCGGTGCCCTGACCACCGGGCTTTGCAAGTTTTCTGGGGGAAACCCTGGCAATTTGCCCCTCAAAAGAGCTACTAATAAATTGCTTTAATATTGATGAAAATAAATGCTTATTCTGTGAAAGTGACATAGGAACAATAGACCATGTCTTCTATGAATGCAATCAAATCAAAATATTTTGGTATTGCTTAGAAAAGTGGATCAAACCAAAAATTGCATTTCCTGAATTTATTTATAGAGATATTGTAACTTTTGAAGTGTTGTTAAAAAAACAAAACAATAGAACTCTGTTGTAATCTGATATTTTGTCTGGCAAAATATTTATTCATAAAGAGTGCTAAGATCACCCCCAGAATAATTTTTTTTTTTTATCTGAATCCATCCATCCATCCATCCATCTTCT